AAACAAACAAACAAACCCCACGTGAAGCAGAAGCCAACAAGATGGAGACCGGTAAGGAAGAAGATACGTCCCGTAAAATTAAGAGACTTTGTTGAATTGTAATTTTGTGATTGTAATTCTGTACATTTAATTAAGTTATTGATAATTGTTATTGGTTTATTGTATGTGGCTATTGTTCGGGACGAACAATACTAAGGAGGGGGCAGTGTTGCGTCAGCGGAGTCACGTGACTAGTGTCACGTCCCCTGCTTTCTGGAAATATCTTGTACCTTCGTGAATTGTCGGGAGATTACTAGATATAGGGTAGCCTGGTATATATAAGATGGTCACAACGTGACGTGAATAATAATGTTTGTGTAGGTAGTGAGTAATTGAACTGCAGTCATAGAGTATTGTTATAACGTTTGTTATAGAGCGACTGTTGAAAATAAGTGTATCGGTAAAGTTATATTCAGAAAGAATAAACCAGTTTTATTAAGTAAGGACTTGTGTCGCTAAAGTTTCGTCGGAACGAAGTTACGGAAAAATCAATTAACAAACGGAGACGTAACAGTAACTTATCACACTAAATATTCAGGTTCGATCCCCGTGTTGGACTCGGCACAAATAGCCAATTGTTTAGTTCTGCAAATAATGTAATTTCCGAGTTCAAAAAACTAGAAGACTTACTTAACTTTTTTTAAATTTGCACTTCGATGTCATTAAAACGGTATATGATTATTTCGTATTTAAATGTTGTCTTAAAGAAACGTAAACTATTAGGAATATCTAATCAGCTATAAACTACAATCACCTAACATTGAGCGTACGTTTAAAACTTGCATTATAATCCAGTGCCTAACAGAAGCTCACTCTGGGCTCTCCTCATACTACAGGGCAAGTCATCAAGTTTTATATTTTATAGTCTATTCATCAAATGTTTTATGAAACTATTCACAACTACTTAAATATATTTTTAATATTTCTGTATTCATGCTATACTAAGTTTTGGAACATATCGTGTTGTTTCTTATATAGATTTGTACACAGTTGTTTGTATTTAAGTTTTTGATGCACCTTTTTTTCATTCAACTTCAAAAGCAATGATTCTTTTTTGCGTTTATTTTTGCATTTACTTTAACAGACTACTATTTTTTTAAAGATGTTTTACACGAGTGTAGGTATAATTTAATATTTTCCCATACTACAGTTGTGTTATCATAGATAAATATATTATCTTGTTTTTCTTTAAATGAAAAATGCTTCACTAGCACAAAAGAGTATTCGTCTTTTTTTCCCATTTTTTCCAATCACTCATATTCATACTCTGTTTTCTCTTTTAGCTTCAAATAAAGTTACTAAGAAGTATTCTATTTTTCTCGTGTAAGTTTAGGACACAGTAAATCAGCTGTAAACAATTCTTTCTCCTATAGTTGTTTTCTGTTGCGTGTTTTTTATATTTTAAACTAAACTCATTCTTGAATCTGCTGGATTTCCATACACTTGTTATAATACTAAAGGGTGTCGAGATTGCTACATGACTTGGAAACTTGACAGCTGAAATAAAAAAGTAATGATTTTAAACAACATTTTAATAAATATTTGTTACGTATTACTAACAGCTTAATTTTATTTATTTTAAGTATTAAAAACTTTCCATGAAGTGTCCTAATGAATTTTCTACTTGGTAACAACTTTAACAGGAAGAAGTTAAGCACTTACAATGAGCACCATAACTCGTTAAAACCACCGCTAACCTATATTAACTTTATCTATTTTTATTTAAAAATTATAGTTACTTTTGAAACATAAATGAGCCTCACACACAATTAGGTGAATTAGTTGTACTTACAACTATTCACCAAATAATGAGGCAACAGAACCAGGGGTGCTGGAATCATCGTAGCACCATCACTTTTACTTATTTGACTTATATTGTAACTTTAAATTATATCATTATATCAATTTTCTGGGGGCATGCCCCCATATCTCCCCTAGATTGAGCTGCCTTTGACAGCATGGGAGTTACTTTTAGCAGTTCCTTATACTTTTAACCTCTCATTGTAAAATTTGCATATCTAGCAAAGCACCCCCACTCTGCATCTCCTTCTTACACCACTGACACACACACACACACACAGTCAACTCCAGCTATAGTTCGAGATATTTTCATTAAACTTGGTACAAAATCTATTCAAGATATGAAAGAATACTAGTAGGTATTGGCTGGTGATGGCTATCTTTCCTAGTATTGAGAAGTTTTCTAAAAAAAACATGTAAGTGAGCATTTTTAATCATTTTATCTCAGTCATACATTAAACATTCATATTAGTAAAGAGCTTTACATTAATTTTAATTCATCATGTCTTTCCAACAGAAATATTAGTTTAACGTATGAATCTTACTTTCACAAGATTTTTGTTGAAAAGACTTTTATGTGTGTATACTTAAAATACATCTCCAGCGTATGTGTAGTTACTTTAAATAGTAGAAATAGATGTTTGGACAAAACTAAGTTCAATGCTTCTGTAACACCTTATTGCAGTGTTATCTCAGTACAGTAGGCTATTGTTTCCTTGTTTATTGTTATTTACATTGTTTAATCTCTAGTGTCTGCTTCTCGTTTTTATCTCACATGGAAGCACCATAAATCTTTTGGTCTTATTTTTTTTAAAACTGACTTTTCTGTCAGAAAGTGAAAAAAAAATATTGCTTGTTCATTTGGGCATTATTCTATCCTGTAGCAAGTATACACCTGGAAAAAAGTTAAGCACCCCCGTGTTTTTTTCAAGTGATTCAGATTCGACGTTCTTGTGACTG